GGAGATCACATGATTAAGGCCCTGTTTACACTACAAATATAACTGTGCCAGAGAACCTTCTTACAACATAGATATTTCCTGACCTGGTTACAAACATGGTGTGAACATAGTTTTATAACCAGACTTAGCCTTGGTCATACCCTGACATGGCTGCTTTATTTCTAGTGGAGACAGTGTTAATGAACTACTGACCTGGAAGCTGTGGTGATAAAACCCAGTTTTTAGACTCAGAGTGTTTGATTTGTGAGGGGGTTTTTTGTTTTGTTTTTTATAGTTTTGATTGTTCTAGGGAAATCTTTCTGAAATGATCAGAAGCTCTAACTGAGCAAACCTCATATCCTGGAGGATGTTATTAACCACTTGAATTAGACTTAAACTCTGCCCAGCTCACTGTGTACATTTTTCACTTCTGAAAACAAGTGATTTTGCAAGGAGTAAAAGAAGCTGCTGATGTTAGCAAAAGTAAAAAGAAAAGGAGTACTTTTGTGGCACCTTAGAGACTAACCAATTTATTTGAGCATGAGCTTTCGTGAGCTACAGCTCACTTCATCGGATGCATACCGTGGAAACTGCAGCAGACATTATATACACACAGAGATCATGAAACAATACCTCCTCCCACCCCACTGTCCTGCTGGTAATAGCTTATCTAAAGTGATCATCAAGTTGGGCCATTTCCAGCACAAATCCAGGTTTTCTCTCCCTCCACCCCCCCACACACAAACTCACTCTCCTGCTGGTAATAGCCCATCCAAAGTGACAACTCTCTTCACAATGTGCATGATAATCAAGGTGGGCCATTTCCTGCACAAATCCAGGTTTTCTCACCCCCCCCACCCCCATACACACACAAACTCACTATCCTGCTGGTAATAGCTCATCCAAAGTGACCACTCTCCCTACAATGTGCATGATAATCAAGGTGGGCCATTCCCAGCACAAATCCAGGTTTTCTCACCCCCCCCCCCCCCAACCCCCATACACACACAAACTCACTCTCCTGCTGGTAATAGCTCATCCAAAGTGACCACTCTCCCTACAATGTGCATGGTAATCAAGGTGGGCCATGTCCAGCACAAATCCAGGCTTTCTCACCCCCCCCCTTTTTTTTTCCGGGGGACACACACACACACACACACACAAACTCACTCTCCTGCTGGCAATAGCTCATCCAAACTGACCACTCTCCAAGTTTAAATCCAAGTTTAACCAGAACATCTGGGGGGGGGGGGGGTTAGGAAAAAACAAGGGGAAATAGGCTACCTTGCATAATGACTTAGCCACTCCCAGTCTCTATTTAAGCCTAAATTAATAATATCCAATTTGCAAATGAATTCCAATTCAGCAGTTTCTCGCTGGAGTCTGGATTTGAAGCTTTTTCATTTTAAGATAGCGACCTTCATGTCTGTGATTGCGTGACCAGAGAGATTGAAGTGTTCTCCGACTGGTTTATGAATGTTATAATTCTTGACATCTGATTTGTGTCCATTTATTCTTTTACGTAGAGACTGTCCAGTTTGACCAATGTACATGGCAGAGGAGCATTGCTGGCACATGATGGCATATATTACATTGGTGGATGTGCAGGTGAACGAGCCTCTGATAGTGTGGCTGATGTTATTAGGCCCTGTGATGGTGTCCCCTGAATAGATATGTGGGCACAGTTGGCAACGGGCTTTGTTGCAAGGATAAGTTCCTGGGTTAGTGGTTCTGTTGTGTGGTATGTGGTTGTTGGTGAGTATTTGCTTCAGGTTGCGGGGCTGTCTGTAGGCAAGGACTGGCCTGTCTCCCAAGATTTGTGAGAGTGTTGGGTCATCCTTTAGGATAGGTTGTAGATCCTTAATAATGCGTTGGAGGGGTTTTAGTTGGGGGCTGAAGGTGACGGCTAGTGGCGTTCTGTTATTTTCTTTGTTAGGCCTGTCCTTTAGTAGGTGACTTCTGGGAACTCTTCTGGCTCTATCAATCTGTTTCTTCACTTCCGCAGGTGGGTATTGTAGTTGTAAGAAAGCTTGACAGAGATCTTGTAGGTGTTTATCTCTGTCTGAGGGGTTGGAGCAAATGCGGTTGTATCGCAGAGCTTGGCTGTAGACGATGGATCGTGTGGTGTGGTCAGGGTGAAAGCTGGAGACATGTAGGTGGGAATAGCGGTCAGTAGGTTTCCGGTATAGGGTGGTGTTTATGTGACCATTGTTTATTAGCACTGTAGTGTCCAGGAAGTGGATCTCTTGTGTGGACTGGACCAGGCTGAGGTTGATGGTGGGATGGAAGTTGTTGAAATCATGGTGGAATTCCTCAAGGGCTTCTTTTCCATGGGTCCAGATGATGAAGATGTCGCAATATAGCGCAAGTAGAATAGGGGCTTTAGGGGACGAGAGCTGAGGAAGCGTTGTTCTAAGTCAGCCATAAAAATGTTGGCATACTGTGGGGCCATGCGGGTACCCATAGCAGTGCCGCTGATCTGAAGGTATACATTGTCCCCAAATGTAAAATAGTTATGGGTAAGGACAAAGCCACAAAGTTCAGCCACCAGGTTAGCCGTGACATTTTCGGGGATAGTGTTCTTGACGGCTTGTAGTCCATCTTTGTGTGGAATGTTGGTGTAGAGGCCTTCTACATCCATAGTGGCCAGGATGGTGTTATCAGGAAGATCACCGATGGATTGAAGTTTCCTCTATTCCAGCTATTACCAGCAGGATAGTGAGTTTGTGTGTGTGGTTTTTGGAGGAGGGTGAGGGGGTGAGAGAACCTGGATTTGTGCAGGAAATGGCCCACCTTGATTATCATGCACATTGTGAAGAGAGTTGTCACTTTGGATGGGCTATTACCAGCAGGAGAGTGAGTTTGTGTGTGGGGGGGTGGAGGGTGAGAAAACCTGGATTTGTGCTGGAAATGGCCCAACTTGATGATCACTTTAGATAAGCTATTACCAGCAGGACAGTGGGGTGGGAGGAGGTATTGTTTCATGATCTCTGTGTGTATATAATGTCTGCTGCAGTTTCCACGGTATGCATCCGATGAAGTGAGCTGTAGCTCACGAAAGCTCATGCTCAAATAAATTGGTTAGTCTCTAAGGTGCCACAAGTACTCCTTTTCTTTTTGCGAATACAGACTAACACGGCTGTTACTCTGAAACTTAGCTAAAGTAGTATGTAAGTCCAACTTCAAGAAATAAAGCTGTTTCTTTTTGCTGCTGCTGCTTTCCTATCCGTCCTACAGGAGTGTTATTTATTGCATCCTCTATTGCTATCAATATCAAATATTGCTATCAATATCAAATATTACCAGCTCACTGGATAACTTTAAAAGTGCATGAGGTAAGGATCATTAGACAAGTGCCCCAACTCTAAGCCTGCTTTCCCCAACACAATGGATTTTAGGTCTGTTACTTATTTATGCTGTCAGCCTGCCTGTACATTTCATTAAGAGACAAGGTGCGTGAGGTAATATCTTCTATTGGACCAATTTCTGTCGGTGAGAGAGACACGCTTTCGAGCCACACAGAGCTCTTCTTCAGCTCTGGTAAAGGTATTCCCAGCATCAGAGGTAAATGCAGGGTGGAACAGATTGTTTAGGATAAGTAGTGAGTACAGATTCCAAGACAGTGGTTCCCAACCTTATTACACAGAAGGGCCAGATAAACCTTAGCACATCTTTGTGTGGGCCAAACAGATTCTACATATTTTAAAAAGAAAAGGAGTACTTGCGGCACCTTAGAGACTAACCAATTTATTTGAACATAAGCTTTCGTGAGCCACAGCTCACTTCATCTGTGGCTCACAAAAGCTCATGCTCAAATAAATTGGTTAGTCTCTAAGGTGCCACAAGTACTCCTTTTCTTTTTGCAAATACAGACTAACACGCTGTTACTCTGAAACCTGTACATATTTTAATAAGATTTAAAGTCTTTGTATTGATTGAGATTTTAAGTTCAGCTTGTTTTGTATGTATTTAGATAGGTTGTTTCTATGTACAGTATTGTCTATTTACACACTTGTGTAAACTAAAATGGTAGCCTGCAGGCCGTAGGTTGGGCGCCCATGTTCTACGGGACCATTCCACCCTGCATGTAGCTGTGGTGCTGGGAGTACCTTTCCCAGCCCTGAAGAAGAGCGCTGTGTGGCCCGAAAGTGTGTCTCTCACCAAGAGAAGTTGGTCCAGTAAAAGCTGTTGCCTCTCCCACCTTGTCTCTCTCATATCTCGGGGTCGACATGGCGACAACTACACAGCACGTGCGCTTCATACTAGTCATGTGCCAGTTACCACGAACATTAAGGATTTGTCATTAAGGATTTTTGCTGGCTGCCCTCATGCTGCAATACTCATGGTCTTCTCCGGGGAGCCCCCCACCAGTGGATGTGAGCCATAGTGTGTGTCTGAGAGAGAGGAAAAGAGTGAGTGAGTCTCCTGGCCCTGTCTACGACCCCATCTTTGATATATGCATTCTCATGCACAGGCTGGGAAGCATCTAGGCAACTCTCCCAATGTGCTGGGAACTGAGGGTATAAAGGGACCTGGCCACCACGGCCTCCTGAGTGCCAAAGGAGTGGCAGGATCCAAACACAGCTCAGGGCTCCTAACACTGCCCTATTGGCTCTCCCCCATTTCTCTGTTCGTTAGGGTGTTTGTTGTCCAACTTCTCTGAAGTCTCTTCCAATGAATTCCAGAAATAATGGAAGGAGGTGAGTGGTAATTAGGGTAGCTCCCCTTTTTACCCCCTGGGACTCCAGCGTGTAGGAAAAGGGTGCCTGTGCACATGGGCCTACAGGGACTGCTGACTGTAACCCAAACACACGTCTCCCAAGACTGGGGCTCCATGGGGGCAGTCATTTTGGAGAATCCTGTTACGGTGGTAAGGGTCTGTGTTTTCCATGGCAACCATCACTGAGAATTTCTGTTTTTGTGGCTTTGTGTCTGATGTTTAATACAACTTCAGTGCCTGGTATTTCTTATTCCTGTGCATGCATTTGAATAATATACATGTATTTTGCGTTGTATTTCAGATTGTGACCTGTCCTAGCACCTCTTTCACTGACTTGGCAGAAATCGTGTCCAGAATTGAGCCAGTCAAAGCAGCTCTGGTAGATGGTGAGTTGGCTTATCGAGACAGTTATATGACAGATGATACACTTTTCTGGGTGAAGATTATTGCTACAATATACAAAGTACATAGCGCCATCCACATGCTTGTCTCTGCTCAATAGCAATCCAAGGAATACTGTCAAATCATCCCTGTGTTCTTGTTTGCCCTCACGTGAGCTCTGTTCATTAAGTAGGAAATTATTCCTCACTATTATTGTCAGCTTGGGCATCCCATCCTGGAGGAACTTAGACTTTAGTGATAAGGAATGCTTCTTGGATTCATCTTAATCCGCCTTCCTCTGCTCCACCATGCCTTGAGTCTACCCATTCCCCATAGGCAAGGCTTCTGAAATGAATCCTATTTATACTTTTTCAGTTGCATTTCTTGTGAGCCTTTCAGGGATGTGAAGTGCCATGCCCTGTACATGAAGTAGGCCTTATTTTCTCCCTTTTTCCCTCAGCGTTAATGTTTTGACAACGCCCCAGTGCAGCCTCAGCCAGGCAGAAGCCAGCTCTCCCTCAAACCCTCCTCCCCACATTATGTGGAAAGTGCTGAGTTGTAGATTGGGGTTTTGTTGATGTGGCCACCCAAGTTGTTGTGTCTTCACCTTTTGGCTTGGTCATCTATAGCCTTGAGATGGGAAAGTAGGGTAGTTTGGAGGCCCAATGCAGGGAACTTTCCCCACTCTTATTAAAACAGTGCTGAATGATTCACTGGCTCACATTTTATTTCCTCCTCCCCACCCCCCACATTGGGAACATCAGCACATTTAGAGGCTTTTTCAAGCATTTCTTATTTCCCATTCCCTCTCTCACTTAACCAGGCTCTAATGGGCAATACCGAAAAACACGTAATGGCTGCTCTGCGTGTGCACACAGTTGCTACACTCCCAGGGGTTCTCAACCTGTCTATCATTGTGGGCCACAGGTTGAGAAGTTAGCAGCCCCTCCATCTACAACTCTGTTGCGATGTTCCTGCAGCTCTTTGACATGCTAATTCCCATCCCTGTGCCTAATGAAGAAAATATTAATGAAATATATTTAAACAGTCATTAAGAATAGGAACAAAAGGTTCTGCATAACACGGTTACTAGTGACATGACTATATAGACCAGTTGTGATTTAAAAGCTTTATTGCAGCAACCTGATCCCCAGTAAACCTCCTGCTCGCCTGCCTGGTAAGATCTCACCGCGCTGTCAGTTACAGAAACAGGAATAAAACTACCTCTGTAGCATAGGAAAATTCACAAGCTAAAGCAAAAGATAACCTAATGCATTTCCTTGCCTACTTACAATTTCTGTAGTTTTAGATCTATTATTCCAGATATATTTTCAGGAGCTGTTGTACCTGCTTGGTCTCTCCCTCCATCTGGAGAGGGAACAACAAAGAGAACACAAACAAAATCTTCCCCCCTAGATTTGAAAGTATCTTCTTTCCTCATTGGTCCTTCTGGTCAGGTGCCAACTAGGTTATTTGACCTACTTAACCCCTTACAGGTAAGGCGATTCAGTACAGCTGCCAAGGAGTGATTTTATGCTACCCTTCTCTCTATATTTATGACAGCTGTGCTCAGGGATTCACATATGCACACCTTAAAGTGAAGTTAATGAGTCTGACTTCAATCTTAATTTTCCTCACTTCTGTGCTCTTAAGGCTTCTATTTCATCTATAACTAGCTCAGAGGTGCTCACATATTAAAAGGGCCAAAGGTCAATGCAAGAGACATTGGGAGGCCCAGTGTGCTTTAATCCAAGGTGTAATAGGGCACAGGGCCATCCCTAGCTATTTTGGTGCCCTACGCAGCCCCAGGCCTCCGTGGGGGACAGGGGCTGACCACTTCCTGCGGGAAGTGGAGTGACCCGGCCCCAGCCTGCTCCACTCCCCTGGCTCCCAGCCGCACCGCCAGCAAGTGCTGGGGGGCGGTTACCCCCTCCCCACAAGCCTGGGAGCCAAGGGAGCAGAGCAGGCTGGGGTCGGGTCCCTCCACTTCCCGCAGAAAGTGACCAGCCTCCCCCGCCCCCATCCCCCACAGGCCTGGGACACAGCCTCCCCTGCGGAGGCCTGGGCCCCCAGGCTGCTCTGCTGCCCTGGCTCCCAGGCTTGGGGGGAGGGGGGAAACGCCCCCTCCAGCACTCACCGGTGGTGCAGCGGGGAGCGGAGCAGGCGGGGGCCGGGTCGCTCTATTTACCTGTGAGTGCAGGCCCGACAGCTTCTGGAGTCTTCAGGGGAGTGGGGGCGGGGCTGAGGCGGGAAAAGGCAGGGCTGGGACAGGAGTCATGGGGCAGGAGCAGGGCAGGGGCTGGGGCAGCACGCAGCTGCACAGGGCACCAGGAAATGTGGTGCCCCAAATTTCCTGGTGCCCTACACAGCTGCATGAGGGTAAGGACAGCCCTGATAGGGCAAGTGAAAAATGGCACAGCTCAGCTCTGACTTCATTTGCCCTTTAACACAATTTTGTATGTTTATTTTCTTTGCCCTTTCTTTGTAATAGCACTGGACATATATAAAAGAGCCATTCTTCTCCACTGTAGATCACTGGTACAGAAGACAGCTTAAAAGAGTGTTGCTGTCCATTATGTCAATGTATACTGTTGGGGACACACATATTATCGTAGCTATATAATTAACTCAAGCAGCATTTAAGCAATAAAATGGTGTGTAATCTTTTTACTGCACTAAAGACATTCTAAAACCCCCTTAGGAAAAGTAATTATTGTGCACATGCGGCAGCCTTAGGGTCAGGCTATTTTAAAAAATAATTCAATATAAATGTCTAAAAAGTACCAGTCCACATAAGATTGTGGCAGACTGCCCCTGATTCCATGATCTACAGGGGCTGGCCACCTCCTGCGGGAAGTGGAGTGACGCGGCCCCAGCCTGCTTTTTTGGAAGAGTTATTGGCACACAAAAGATCTAACCCACAGAACCTTATTCCTTCGCATCAGCTGTATCACCTGCAGAAATGGAGTTATAAAAGAGAAACAAAAACCACACAAAATTAGCAAGAATGGGCCTGTGCCTCCCAGAGCAGCCATGTGATCTTTTCACCATCATCCTTGTCTTCCCCCGCCTCTCCTGCTTCTGGTTTCTCTGTTATACTCACCTCTTGTCATGTGTAACATTTGGATTGTTTGCTCTTTGAAGCAGGGACCACACCTTCCCGTTTGTTCTCTAGTCTAGAGCACTGTTGCTGAGTGCTGTAGAACTGCTGAATAATGAAAACCTTGGGGAATTACCACATTGGAATAGCCTAGTGCATGTGAACGCATTCCAGTCTGCAACAGTGACTATTGCCATTTGTTTTATTTTGTGTCTTTCTGAACCAAGGTGATTGGAAGTGGATAAAGCACCTCCCACAGTGGGCTCTGTTCTTGCAATACAAGTATGCAATAACATTAGTGACCACACTGCTGTTGGAAACATTTGTTTAGAAAGCCATCTCAGGCTGTTTGTTCACTTTTAGCTCAAAGTAAGTTTTAACAATAAAGTTGTAAACCTCTGAAAATATTATCATCTGTGGTAAACTTCAGGTGCAGTGAGTTTAATTCCAGCATTTCCTCACCAAGTTTATATCAAGGGCCTCCTTTTTAATCATAGCCATTATATTCAATTAAAGCTACAAATTGCTCTCTGAACCACTACAGGAAAAAGTAATGGCCAAGTGTTTTTAATCCGTTTTCTGCCAGCTTGTTATAGCCATTGTATTAGAATAAAATGCTAAGGAACAGAATGTACTGTCATCTGCAGAATGCAGCAGATGCTATTGACTGTTCCAACGCGAGCAATACTTAAGTAATCAGCTAATTCATTTTAAGTACAAGACCTGTTCCTCAGAACCAAGTTGAAAAAGACTTTTCTTCTTCTTTATCATGTGACGCCTGTATGACCCTTCGATACACAGTCCAGTGGTGTCTGCGTTTGCCAAGACTGTTGGGATCACAGGTGGGATTACCCTTATACTGCTGCTTAGCAATGAGTATGCCATCCTCAGGGGCTTTAACATTTCCATTTGGGCAAAATCGGCCTTTGCTTATAAATAGACACCAGGCTAAACCTTTGAGTTATCTGTTCCCTCCCAGCAGTTATCTGTTCCCTCGCAGCAAATCTCTCTGCTCTTAGAGAGATTTCAAGTAGATCATTAATTGTGTACATTTCACTTAAACCCACCCCTGCTATCAGAGGGTTCAGTTTGACATTATTGATACTAGAGTTAGATCCCCATTGAAATCAGTAAGGCTCCACATGGGTTCAGGGTTCACTTTGCACAATGCTTATTACAAGGCTAAGGCCCTAGAGACTAACGAAGTCTTAATTACTATGGCAGTGCTCTAGCACCATCACAGGAGGGAATGGTGATTAGGGCAGAAGTGCAAACCTCATGGAAACTTTAAAAACAGACAAGCCAAATGTCACGGGTGTTTTAAACGCAAGAGAATCTGGGCTTACCTAGGGGGCTAATAGGGAGCAGGATTCCTCACACAGGCCAGCGCTGGGGACACTGGCATGTCTGCTCTGACAGCCCCCCCATGGGAAAGGGGGCCAATTGATTTAAAATGTGGAGTTAGTTTAGGGTTGTAGAGGTCAGCTAGGAGGATCCAGCAACTCCCATGGTTGAAGGTGTTCATCCATCTCGCAGTATATGCCCCATACTTGGTATCTACACAGATAACTTTGTAGCTGTTAAGCGTCTAGGTGAAGCTGGTTTAACTGCTACTGGAACATCTGCTCCATGTCCCTGCCCACTCACTGCAAACCCACCAACGTTTCCAACATCACAAGAGGATGGTTATTTTCCTAACCCCCCCCCAAAAGCAGGAGTGGTGATCTAGTGACACAAATAGAAACCCAGGTCTCTGCTTGCACTGTATATGTAGCCATGATGGATCTGTCTGATCACCGTGTGTGGCCCCCTTCAGAGAGCTATTTGTGCACTTCACAAACAGGAATTCGTTTATCCTCAGAACCATCTTATGAAGTGGAGCAGGATTTTACAGATGGGGAATTG